GATTGTACATGTGCGTGACTCTGGTGGGACTGGACAAGTCTGCGTAGAAGAATTGCAGATGGTGGCCTTGGCTGTTTCGACTGGACACTCTCCGGCCCAAGCCATCATAGCGGTACTTGATGGTCCATCCGTTAACTTTGTTGTAGGCTTTAACAAGCAATCCAGCAGAGTTATACTCAAAGAAGTCATTGCCTCTCTGCCTGAGGAATCCATCCTCGTCCAACCGGTACTGCACGTCACCTAATCGAGTAATGCGGTCCCGAATGTCATAGCGTAGCGGTGTAAGTCTGGCACTATTACCAGGACTAAGGAGGTGCAAATTTCCATTCAGATCATAGCTGTAGCGCCAAAGAGGCTTGTCATTGATGGACACCACTTGGAGTTGGCCATCAGCATCATACTCGTAGGCGTAGCGGGTGGTATTTGCATAGGGCCCCACTTTAAGCTCCTTGGCCACCACTCGCCCCATGTTGTCGTACTGTACCATCATCCAGAACATCAGCGAACGGAAAATCTCATACTGCACCTCTTTAACTCGCCCATAGGCATCAAAGTGTTTGGTGTGAGTCATGACAGCTGTGGTAATGATCTGGTTAATATCATAGTAGATGACTCCGAACTTGCCAAACTGCTCCGTTTTGCCTGAGACGTCATCGTAGCGATAGAGGTCAATAGGTAAGGGGGTTTCATTGATGACCGCCTGCATGCTGGTGACCCGGAAGCTGTTGTCGTAGTTGTAGTCGAACCGGGCATTCACCATGCCCTCCTCACTGAAACGAAAGATCTGTCTGTCGATGAGTGGTCCGATCTGCCTGTAGCGTATGGTACATGCAAAGCCTTCGCTTTGAAGCCCCACCGTTTTCAGCATGCCTGCAGATTCATCATAAGAAAAGGCAATCCGTGTTGTATCATAAAGGATTTCCAGCAGACGTGAGAGTTTCCCATACTTGTAGATGACTCTGCGCCCCGTTCCTTGGTGGATGGTTTGCAGAAGCAGTCCATCTTCGCTGTAATCTTGCAAAACTGTGGCGTTGCCCTCAGGTGGCCTGTACGTGTTTCTGTAATAACCGATGGAACGGGTGGTCTCCAAGGTCTGCCTAGCCACATTGGGCATGGTTACTGAAGAGAGGCGATCGTTCTTGTCAAACTCGAAGATGTATTGTCGCTGGCTGTATAGTAGCAGCACCATGGACTGTCAAAGGAAAATGACAAAACGATGCTCAGTAAGCTGATTTAATGAAGCACAGTAATTCCCAACACATTCTGAGAGCACTTCAAACAGTTAAATGTGAAATTCTCCACCCAGTGAAACTGAAGGTCACAAAGTACCCAGGAGTCACATTGCACCACATGAATAACTGCACAACAAACTGTAAGGTGTCACAGAATCACTTCAGGGTGCATAAAAATGACAAATATGCTGCTCTAGAACATTGACTGAAAAATTAAGAAGGGCAACATCTCATTCAATGAGGATTAAGTCATCATACCCCCACCCTCCCCAATACCATTTTTAATAATGTCACCTTATATGGAGGTCAGTGGGAGGATATTCTGGAGTTTATATTTCAACAGGAAGCCACTCTTGTTATTATTTTAAATTGATTATTTTTTTTATTTTTTTATTTTGAGGCTACTGATCTCTGCAGCACACGGTCATTTTAGAATGGCAAGAAAAATTAAAGAGAGTGAATTTAGGGTTTATGAATACTATTAAACCCATATATTGGTATCTCATAATTTCAGTATTCTAAACAGAGGTATTTTGAATGACATGGTAAGGTCTTACATTTCTCAGATATTGGTTCTAATTAACAAGACAGTGATATTTTATGTTTTTCAGTGATTTTTTTAGGAACAAGTTCGTTGTCAGGCTGCATGTGGTAACAATGCATAACACAAGCAGTATATTAGACAGGGATCATTGCTGAAGCACACAAGGTTATAGCTTATTAATGTAACAAATTAACAGGGTTCAACAAAGAGATCACTACAGAACAGAGAACTAGTGATTATTTTTCAACCTCATTATTTTCTAGATAAAGATGCTTACTTTTTCAAGGTAGGTGTAGCTCCATGTCTTTCCATCTGCAAATATCTTTGAGGTGATTCTCCCATTTAGGTCATATTCCATTCGGACTGACATAGTGCCCCTCTGAATGCCGGCGATGTGGCCGCCCTGTGAGTAGGTAACATTGACACCGTTTAGCCGACTACTTGGTGCCCACAAAGTAGGTCTTCCTGCATGGTCATAGTGGATCCTCAAGGTGAACTTCCTGTGGTCGTCATAGACTTTCTCGGTCCTGGTTACACGGTCAAAATCCATGGATAACAAGTTCCTGTTATGAACCTACCAAAAAAAGGAAGATAGGAAGTTTAGGCCTCTGAATTCTACACATGGATTTGATAGGATCTACCGTAGTCTCTGAACGTCTCTACTTTCATCTTCATACCTCTAAAGGACACAAGCTTTTTAACTGACTGATTTCTTTGTTTGCTGCTTGTTAAAACAAAAAGAATGAGAGAAGCTCTCAGTTTCATATAATCTTTTGTCATGCCTTTAAGGAAGGAATTATTGAGGGGTAGATAGCTTACACTGTATTTGCAGGAAGAGGAAAACAATGACACTTGAGGTGCATATGAAGGCCCACTACATTGTTTGAATGACATGTCATACTGAGTTTTTGGCTCATTTTGAATGTGCAGAGTCCTCTGACCCCGGAACATGCTGAGATCAGAGCTGAGAACTAGTTCTACATGGCTGGTAATCCCAAAGGCACACACAGGTCGATGCGGGGGGGCGATCAAGGATTTAGAGACCTTAATACCTTCACCCCTTGGCACAATGCACTAGAATCTTTATTGCTGCGATGTGAATTTAGGTATTGGTTGATAATAAATGGGAACTCCAGCTAGACCTAACTAAATATTAACATTGTATTAGCAGGTCCACAAAAAACCTACACTTGCTGTTGAGAATTACAATGCAAAAATAAATAGCACTCTACTCGGTAACCCGAAAGTACTATGAAACTGGCTAATACATTTACAAAAAATGCTTATTAGCACGTTTCTAAGTCTAGCAGGAATGCAAACTCAAAATTCGCAGTGAAACTTTCTTTTTTCCAAGTATACCACTTTGTCGTATTATGTCTACAGGGTTGAATGAGTACTGACCAAACGACCATCTGGAAGTTTGGGCCAAACAGTCTTTGAAATGCATTATAATTAAACACGCATTTCCCCATATCTCTTATCAGTGTAATGTGTCCTTAATTGATCTTGGTTTTTCTCATCAGGTACTCTGGTACCCAGCTTGGCTCACTGCTGGCAAGGCTTAACAGAGTCTTAAAGTGATTTTGCGAGTTGTTATTGGCTTTGGTCCAGTGGTATGGTGAATGGGGGAAAGAGCAGCAAGCAAGCTTTCGCTCTCTCTCCTCCTCTTGGGCATGCTGGGAGCTCTCATCTGTGAAGGGACAATTACACTGGGGCCAATTAATGTCACTAATACCTAATTGAGAGGATTATTTTACATTAAAAGCAAGCAGCTCATGAATATGAGAATTCCCAGTGGGGGTGACAGAACAAAGAGGTTGACAGAATAAAGGGCAGATATTTTTTCCCTCCCCACTTCTTTAAGCCTCACCCACCTACTGCTGAACATGGCCCCTATTTCTCTCACTCTCGCTTTTTCAAATACTGCTTGACTCTTTGATCTGAAGATATCAAGATTGAGAACTTACTCAAAGAATCAATACATAAATCAATCAATTCAATTCATCCACCCACCCACCCATCCATCCATCTTGTTTGAAAACTAGTTTGAAAACAGTTATTATTTCTGCTATTCTTTTTGGTTACACAATTCACTTAAGTGTTATTTACTAGACATTCCAAGGCATCAAAAAAACAGGCTTTTATGGCTCTGAGGATGAGATAACTTTTATCAAGGGCTGATTTGTCCAGAGTAGGATGACAGGGGACTGAAGCAACGGGTTAAAAAAAATTAGAGAGAATGAAAGGGAGAATGAAAAGGGAAGGCTGGATGCTCATGCCAGGCTCTGGTTGAGCAGAGGCCCAACGGGCTGGAAAAAAAAGCTCTTTTGGCAGTGAGATCCTGGGTCTCTGGAGAATGGAAACCCACTCAAGGGGAATGTCTTAAATTGGACATTCCTTTAAATGGACTAAGCTTTAGGAAAGCAGATATGGTGGGAGGAAGGAGATTGGACTGGGGCAGGGTGGAAAAAACAGGGGGTTTGAGGGAGTGTCTAAGAACCCCCAAAAAGGACATCAAGACAAAAAGTAGGGTGTACTTACACTAAACCATATTATTCCACATGTTACATAAGTCACATTTCAACAGTATCTACAAATATTTTTGTGTGGAACTAATTTTAACACTCAAATGAAAATCACAAACAGCACGTTGCTCAAGCACTCTTCATTTTTTATCGACAAAATTCACAGCATCACTGTTGCTCACTTTTTTAATAGATTTATATATTTTTTTTTACTATTATTCAAAAGTTTGAGGTTAGTAAGATATATAAAAGATAAGCACTAATTCAGGTAGGATGCACTGAATTGATCAAAAGTGACATATAAAAAACATTTACAACGTTTAAAAGATTTCTGTTTCAAATATTTGCTGCTATTTTGAACTTTCCATTCATCAATTCCTGAAAAAAAATGTACCGTTGTTTCCACCAAAATATTAAGCATTAATAATATTCAACATCAATAATAAGAAGAAACCGGTTGAAGAAACCGGAAGAAACAGGTGCTATTCCCTTTCATTGTACAGAAAAAAGCAGCATGGACATTCTGTAAAACATCTCCTTTAGTCTTTCATTAAAGAAATTAAGTTATACGTGTTTGAAAAACATGAGAGTAAATGACAGAGTGGTAATTTTTGGGTGAACTATCCTTTATAGTTGATGTTTTGCTTACTGAATTTCCAGAAAAAGTTATCGTATAATTCACACTGTATTGGGGAATGTTAGACAGACACTTGCCATGTTTCTCCCTCCCTTCTTTGACAGCCGGATGAAATAAAATACTAAAATACTACTTTGCTCAACTACTTTGAGATTACCCGACTCCAGTTTGTCAAACAAACAACGATTAAAACTAAGAAAACACGAAAACACTTTTTTTCAGAACTCGGCTAATATCTTAGGACTGTCACTAATGCACTTTTGGCAATGAATAAACAATTGTAAGTAACGTTTGTTTTCATAAATCACCATCAATAATTGAAATTTCCCATTCCATATTCGAAAAGTCAACAAATCTGTCAAACAACATTTGATTTTCTTCTCCGCTGTCATAAAAAATGTATTCAAGTTGTTCTTCAAATCCAATATTTGCTTGTCGCTTTGCCATTCATTTATAATTTTTCCCCGTCCACTGCTGTGGTAAGAACTGTAATCTTGTTTGCTCAGTGCGATTTGTCGCTTCCTTCAGTAAACACACTTGCCCATGTGTTGGCTTTGTTTGTTTGGAGGCAGTATAGGACACCATTCTAATAAAGTAAAGCAAACATTTAGAAAACTGTCAGTAGAGGCCTTGCGATTAAGCCTTCAGTGGTTTTTGGGATTTGAGCTCACTGTGAGGGAACAATTTACACTACTACATTTCCAGAGCTCTGCTGTTGTCAGGAGACATGGTTGCTATGGAGACAAGGAGAATTTTGGTGGCCTGGCAGCTGTGCTTGATGGTGTGTAGTGGCCATTGTGATGGACATGTGACCACAGTAATACTTCAGGCTGCTAGTGACCCACATTTCTACTAGGGCTGGGTATCGCCAGCAATATAATCATTCGAAACACACTGTGATGTATCTAATGATTCAATGGATTGGTTGAAATCATTGTAATATAATTTTCTGAAATAGTCACTGTAATACCACATATATTTTTTGAATCATCTCTTTCCTTAATTCTCTTGGCTTCATGCCAATTTGATGAACGTTCTCACAGCCAGCAGCTTCACCCACTCACACAACACACACACACACACACACACACACACACACACACACACACACACACACACACA